GTTGGTTCTCGCTCATTGGGAAGGAAACCCGACATGGAGCTAAAAAATATTGTAAACGAGTAAGTATTTCTTATATTATGTCTAAAAATCTTGATTATTCTATTTCTAACCCCCTTCTTTTCAATATATAGTGCTCTAAAGGTTTGTAGTACATTATGTGGAAAACACACAAGTAAAAGCACAACTCCAAATTGGAATTTTATCAAAGTAAGTAGCCTTTATATATATTATACTATCTATTAATTTATGTTCAAATTTAATAGTTATTTTTAACATATTTAGTCATTTTTAGTGTAACAAACAAAATGGAGGATACGAAAGTGCGCTACTATGTAATGTATTGGATGTGGCTCATCATTTTTGGTAGCATTCGTGATAGTTGGAATGAGGTAAGTTGACATTTGCTATTATATTCAATTCCTTTATTTTTATTGCTTAGGGTTTACCATTCTATTATTGTGAACTTCTTACAGTGCATTTAAAGATATAGAACCTTTGCCTATGGATACTATAGACATGGTTAGAAACAAATGGGCAGAAAAGTTTGTACAAGTAGTTAGGAATAGGATTGATTGATAATTTTTTGTGTATTTTGTACATAATTTGGATGATTTTGACATATATATCTATCATTTTATATATTAGTGATTAGCTGAAATAAATATACTGTCTGGACTGAGATTATAGCAGGTCGTGTACGGTTGGTGGCACAAAAATAGACCAACATTTAAAAAAAAAAAGGGATATTCTACGTCAGTTATTGCATTAACCGACGTTGTAACGTCGGTCGCTTAAGCGATACAGAACCCGAGAGTCCCATTTGTTTGAAGGCTTCGTCGCTCAAGCGAGTACACCGGTCGCTTGAGCGAGAAAGGACCCGCAACGTCGGTTAGTTCAATAACCGACGTAGAATTTACTAATTTCTACGACGGACATTTGGTTAACCGACGTAGATATATATCACTTTCAACGTCGGGTATTCTGAACCGACGTAGAATCCTTTGACATTCAACGACGCCTGAATCAACGACGTCATTGGAACTGACGTTGAATGCCTTCCACACCCGACGTTGAATGATCATTCTGTAGTAGTATAGCAAATCATAGATACTGTAGTACATCCACAATGATACAGGTAAACATGAATTACTTAACATACTCCTAACCATATCAAATCATAGAAGTACGCTTAAACAAACTGAAACAACCATTCTCAAACTTAAAAGAGTATCCAGCAACATCAAGCTTAGACAAAGAAACTAAATTTCTAATGATACTAGGTACATAAAAAGTATCCATAAGGTCTAAGTGATATCGAGTGTCAAGGATTAAACGATAAGTCCCGACAGCTTCCACTGGAACATTGACTTTATTCCCCATGAAGATGAACTTCTCATTTGGGTTTATGGTTCGAGTTGAAAGGAATCTTTGCATTACATTAGAAACATGAGTCGTACATCCAGAATTAATCCACCAAGTATTATGGGAAACTTCAGTTAAGTTTGATTCAAAACATACATAAGCACTATGCTTACCTTTCTTTTCGAACCAAGTTTTACGCTTTAAGCAGTTCTTTTAAAAATGTCCAAACTTACCACAGAAATTACATTTGTCATTTTTCTTCTGAATGTTAATAGAGGACCCGTTAATCTTTAATGGTCATTTACCATTTCCATGTTTCTTAACAACTTTCTTTTTAACTCCTTGATTTTTCACGTAATGAATAGAGTGACTTCTTAGGTTCTTGAGTCTGGTCTCCTCCTGGACTAACATACTGTACAATTCATGCACATTCCATTTGTCTTTCATGGTGTTATAGTTCATCGGGAACGGACCATACTCAGGCGGTAACGAGTTCAAAATGAACCTCACAAGAAAATTTTCTTCCACTACCATTCCAAGATACTTGAGTCTTGTTGTGATATTTGTCATTTCGATTACGTGTTCATGCACACTACGAGAACCATCAAACTTATGGTGGTCAACGTACTCATCAATGTCCTAGCAAGGGATTTGTCAGCAGTTTGAGAACGCTCTTCCATAAATTTCATAAATTCTTTCACGTCCTTAGTTTTGGAAAAAGCATACTTAATATTGCTTGCAATACTCATTCGCATAAACATAAGACTAAGTTTGTTTGACCTTTTCTAAACTCTATAATGAGTTTTCTCTTTGTTGCTACTAGCATTAGTAATAGCAGCCGATTTTTCAACTTGGAAAGCCAAATCAAAATCCAACTCACCTAAGTGAAATTGGACTTTCTCACTCCAGTCAAAGAATTTAATCTATTAAAGACTGGAACAGACGAAGTAAGCGAATGTAGAAATACATAAACAAATACTTCAATTAACACATGTCTAACATTAACGCTTTGAGTCATAAAAACTAAACATAAATACAGATTCAAACATAAATAACTATTTTATGCATATTAAAGTTCTCCTTTGGGAGATCCACTAATACACAAACATAATTACACTAATTTTTTTATAACATTAATAATAATTAAAATATGTATCATCACCTAATACCTTTGGGTATTTAAATAAAACTACTGACGCACACAAAATTATCTACTTTCATGTTCATTAATTATAATAACAACTAATTAACCTTTGGGTGATCCCGAAATGCCTTATAATAATGAACTTCAATTAACCCAAATCATTATGCATAATTTTAGCATTCATATTATGGGTAATTGAAATAAAATCATTAATAATTTGAAATCAAAATAACCTTAAAATTTTGGCCACTTTGGTGACTAACAAAATTTATCATGCTTAATTTCAAATAAATAACATATTTAATTGTTATTAACCATTCATAGCATTTTTTATTAATTTTAATAAATATGTACATTATTCACATAATAAAATATTATGTGTCATAAATAAAATTGAAACTCATAATTTCAATTTCCATACTAAGATTGATTTTCAATCCAAGACCTTTATTTGCATTTCACGTAAAAGTGAAATTGTCATCCATTCAGAACTTTTATGAGTAATTTAAACGGAAATAATATAATTCAGTTTGCAAAACAAAATTCATTCATTTATCAATGTTTACATTATAGGTACATTAACAAAGTTTCACAGTACATTAACAAAGCTTCACAGTACATTAACAAAGTTTCACAGTACCCTTAACAAAGTTTCACAGTACCCTTAACAAAGTACCTTTAACAAAGCTTACAGTACCCTTAACAAAGCTTTAAGGTATGAGTATATTATACAACTCACCTTAACATGAAAATAACTCTTTAATTATCCTTCACCCACATAAAAATATGTACGTACAAAATAATGTACAAATAATATGGGGACAAAATAATATAGAAGAACAATGGTTTCAACAATCACCAGTCACCAATATGTACATACAAAATAATATTATAAATAATATAATATAATATATGAAACTTGTGTGTTTAACACGTGCTCTCTACGCGCTTACAGTTTACCGTTCTTTCATCATAATTATAACCTTTATAAGTATAACATGCAATAAAACCAATTTCATACATGATTCACCTTTTCAATTCAAATCAATTGTAAGGTCATAACTCAATCATGTCATTTGTCTTTTTTTTAATTAAAAAGGATTACGTGACCATTGATGCACAAGGTTTATCAAATTGGTTTCAATTTGAAATTGATTAGCGACCTTATCCTTAAATTAGGGCTTATCCATTTATTTAATTTTGAGAAAAATTAAATTTGAGAATAGATTAGGGTTCATACTAATCTGACAGAGAAATACTTAAATTCATAATTAGGGTTTATCTTAATTTAGAAAAAACTTAATATTTGGGAAAAGTTTCATATAAGAAAAATCATAAATTTAATAATCAGTGCTATGATACACATGTAAAATATTATGTAGTTTTCCTACGTTCTTAATTCATTATGGAAAACTACTCTACAGGATCTTTAGATTATTGATTTTCACAACATAACATACACGAATCATAATAAGATAACTAACATTGATCCATGAGAATATATTCTTTAATCTTCTCGTTCTCCAATCTTTTTTTCTCAATCTATCTCTTTGTCTTTTTTTTCTCTTTTCACGCTTTCTTGATAGTTTCATCGTGAAAAAATCTTATGACTGGAGACGTAACCTTAATCCTTTTAATTAAAGAACGTCCTTCAAGTTGATTTACGTAAGTATTTATTTTATTTTATCTTTATTTTATTCTAATTTCACGTAATAACCAATAGGTCCTTATATTTTATTAAATCACATTTTGACTCATTATTATATTTCACGTAAATCACGTTATCAAATGAATTAATTAAATTAATTCTATAAATACATTTATTCATTCCGGGTCAAAAATTTAAGTGAAAAAGTCATACATATTTAAAGTGTCGTTTTTGCCTCTTTACACTTGATTTATGTGAATACAAGACATCCACAAGTCTCGATCAGCATTAGGATTTGTTAATTAAGTAAATAATAATCATTGGTCGCAACCTAAGTGTTCTTTTTCTTGTTCAAAAAGGAGACGTCGATGATTACCAAACTCCAATGGTCCAAAAAAGTTGTATGGGTAGGGTCAGTCATTAGAAAGGTACCCTAGTTTTTGCTTTTGAAGTTTGAAGTTTGAAGATTGGAATCATATCATTATCACATATGGAAATTAAAGGATGCACATTACAAGTAAAAAAAAGAAGTAATATTTTATTTACAACAATAATGTAAATTACAACGAAGTACATCCCTTTAAAAAGGGGTTAAACCCTAAAAATGATTCCAATAGATACAAGCAAAATCATCACCAAAAATTCATTTACCAAATCAAGAACTATGTATAAGCAAGTCAGATCTCTGCAAAACTCCCAGAGCAAGTGGGAATTATTAAGCACGAGATCACCGAAAATTCCCACGTTTTTAAAACTAGGAAAAAAACGAATAATAATAATAATATGTCATATAAAAAGCCAATTGGACCACGTAATACGTAAATGGAAAGCGTGTGGGACCCAGTGTTAGGCATCGGAAGAGTAGCCACTGGGAACAGGTGGGGTTGTCGAAGTTGAGCTGAGACTGAGAGGGGCGGCGCCACCACTCTCTTGACTGCGCTCCTTCTCTTTCCGTCGACCAGAGCACAACAGCACCGCCGCAATGCTCTTAAATACCATGATCCTGATTCGCCCTCTCCTAGGTGTGACCATGGCGCCCTTTCGATTGGCGTAGGTTCGGTCCATGAGCAACGAAATTGGACTAAGATTGAGGCGAGTGGAAGAAGCAGAGAAGAAGAAGAACCAAGTGTAGTTGTGTTGTCTGATGATACAAGTGCTTCGTTTGGAGTGAGAAGATTGGTTAGCGAGTTTTATAAAGGAATCGGGTGGTCCTGTGGCAGTCTTGTAACTCAAGTTTCAATTTTTATTTTTATTTTTATAATTAAGGTTAATGATTTTGTCATTGTCACGTGGCGTATTTTTCAGTTTTCATTTCACATTGGACACAGCTGTTTGAAACACTCTTCTCATAGCCTGATGAGACACCGATCTAATAGGAATGAGTCTAAAAATATATATGTTATTTAAAAAAAAAAAGATAGATATAAAAAGTAAAATAAAATAAAAAAAATAGTTATGTTTTTTGGATTTAACAGTTTTTTAAAAAAATTATAAAAAATATGATATTAAAAAATATATTCATTTTAAATAATATTTATTTTATTATAATTTTATTTACCTATTTTTTTAAATATATTTATATATTATATTATTTAATATACTTATAATTATTTTTATTATTAACATTTTTAAAAATTGTCATTATTAAAAAAACTTATTTTATTGTTAAAATATTAAAAATTATTATTTTATTAAATTTTGAATTAAACCTTTAAATTTGGAAATAATTTCCTCCTCACCTACAAGTTCTAAGGTTGATCTATTTTAAAATGTAATTAAGTTAAAATCGAAACATTTTTTTTTCTTAAGAACTAAGTTTGTGTTTGGACGTGTTGATAAATTGAAAAGAAGTGAATATGAGAAAAAAATAAAAATAAGAAGTGTTTTTATTAAGATTAAGAAAAAGATAATAAAAAATTATAAAATTTATAAGTGATATAATTAATTTAATAGATTAAAAAAATAAGAAAAAATTAAATTAAATATTTTTATTTTTTTATTTTTTTATTATTTATTATAACTATAATTAAAAAGATATATCAGATAATTCATTATCTGATTTAGATAGTACAAATTTATGTTTTTGTAACTTTCTTAGCAAAAAGGAAGGATGAATTTAGAAAATAAATAAATAAATACATCAAATTTTCAACTTTTGGCCTATTTTATTCCTTGCTCTCTTTCCATCCGAATAACCAAACACAGCCTTAGTCAAATATCACATTTGACTCTGGTCGTCTGTTAGTGGGTCGGCTTCCTGAATATTTAGAGTTTCGCCCAAAAAATAAGTTAATAAATTTAGACAACAAATTCGAAGATTTAATGTGTATGTATTGTTTTTATCTTAGGTTCCTATTTACTAGTGTTTTATATTATTAAAAAAAAAATCACGAGTCTACGTATCAGTTTAAGATAAAATTTAAAGTAAAAAAAATAGTTTTTTATTTATGTATGATTCAATCCTTTTTTCTACGTAGAACTTTAATTTACCCTTTAAACTCCAACAAACACACTCTTATAAAACTTTAGGTATTTTCTATTCTATAGAAATTGGATGAAATAACTTTGAAAATAATTTGAAGGAGAGATTAATAATGTTATTTTTACAAAAGAAATATTATAATTAGTTAATTTTTTTAATAAATAAAATAAAGTATAATTGAAATGTAGGGCGTAGATATTTTTAAATGTATATACCTATTTGAATCCAAATAATAAAGTGGTTTATTCTAGCATTTATCAAAATTGTATATTGGAACTTAAAACAGAAATCATTTGACGAATTAAAACAATTTTATTTTTATTAATTCACTATTTAGTGGTGTGATATAAAATAGGAGTTGTTCAAATAAAGTTGTATGAAAAATATTTGTAAAAGAGAAACTAAATCAAATTAACTGTTTTTAAAAATGTAATGGATTTTTTTAGTATAAACGATTAATTCATTTTAATTTATACTTTATGTCTTTAGATAAATTTTTTTATCAACAATCCAAACCGAACTACATAATTTTTTTTATTGGATTTTTTTTTTTACTAGCACAAACATATTGGTGAAAACCTTATACAAGATGTTTTTTTTTTAGCTTTTTTTAATATTTATCTAATTTTAAAAATTGTTACATTTTTTATAAAAACATTTAATAAGAGTAACCGTCCAAGCATCACGATTCGTTTGTGCCTCGATCCACCGACTTTCATCACAGGACAATTGATACTACCTACTACTTGCAAAAATAATAAAATCATATAAATTTAACATTTACTCGATGCAAATAAAATAATTATATAGGCACGTAATCTAATTGAAAAGGTTGAAAATTCTCCTAATATGTTCAAGCAAAAGCTATACAAACAATTATTAGATGAATTAATTTGTATAAAAATTGTATAATTTTTCGTAATCAAATAATTACTTGTTAGGGTATTTAATAACTACGATGTGCCTAAATTATTATATATGAAATATTAAAAGATTTTCAGATGAATATAAAGGTAGTGATTTATATAATCTGACCAATAAACAAATACAAATTATTACCAAATTTGATTATTTAGGACAGATTACCAAATTTAATTCAAACCAATAAACGAATATAAATTCAATTACATAAATTCAAATTTGATTGTTCTAATACAATTATTTTAATATATATATATATATATATATATATATATATATATATATTAATTGTAACTAACTATCGGTTGAGAAGGGATTTACTATAAATAGAGAAAAATAGATTTTAAGATAAAGAAAAACCTTAACATAAGATCTTTCTTTATATATATTTTCTTTAATTGTAACTTAAAATAAGACGAATCTACTTTCGAGACCACCAAAGAAAAATAGAGGAAAACTTAACCTAAGATTTTAAGTAATATTTTTTTTAATATAAAGTTAGAAATATTATTTTATTGATTTAGACACATTAATATAGTTTTTTCTTTATCTTTTATTAAAAAAAAACAATATAAGATATGCATAATCCATTATTATTTTTAAATATGTCCTTAACTCTTCTGTATTCTCTTAAAATATAGTTTTTTTTTTAACAACTCAAGCAGATTACTTTTCTACCACTGATACGTTTTACTTATCCAATTAAATGACTTCATTAAGAAAACTATATATAATCTCAATAATTATCGTTACATTTTTATATAACACTACTGGGAAAATAAATTATTTGTTAAAAAAAATATTAAAAAAATAATTTTAATATTATTAAATATTTTATTTATTATGTGGTTTGATTAAAATAATTAAAAATCAAACTATATCAGATAAAAAAGTTATAGAGTTAAATAAATTTGTGTTCGTTTTATTTAATGTGCGGTCTAAATGAATCTAAGATAAATCACTACATAATCGTTTATAAAATAATAACTATATTTTAAATAAAATATTATTTTGTTAAAATATATAAATTATGAATTAATGTTAAAGAAAGCACTGATTTTTTTTCAATAAAATAATTGTTATATAATTTATATATTAAATAATTATATATAAAATAAATATATTTTCTATTAATATAATTAAAATTAAAATTTATATTATATTTATAATTTTTTTTTTTAATTTGAATCTGTTGATTAGTCTAGAAAAATAAATACCAATTCTATAAGTTAAGTTGTATCTTAATTTATCTTTATTTGACCCAAGTTAGATTGAGCTTTTGACACCCTAATTTTTTCTTTAAAAAAAAAAAAAGTTAACGTCTTGTGGAGTATAATTTAGAATAAGAAAAATAAATGAGTGATTTTTAAATTATTTTCCAATTGGGTTTGGTTTGGGCCGAATACCATAACAAAACTCTGCACGATACCCATTAAAACAAAATATGATGAATGTTCAATATAGCCTGCATTCACCACCAAAAGACATTTTATTTTATCCCCTCTCTTCTGTGTAAGAAAACATTACTTTTTACTAAATATTATATATTTTACTAAAAATACAAAGAAGAGTTATATTTTTTAAAATAATTTCTCACGTCTCTCTAAATAAAAAAGGTTTTATAATTTACAGTTACTTAATTTTTATTTATTTATTTTGAATTAATTTTTTTATATTACTTTCTTTTCTCAAACAAAAATAGAAGAAAGTAAATGTAAATTAAAAAATGGTTTAAGCTCTTGAAATATAAACCACACAATAACGATGAGGGAATGAAAGATAGGTTAGTAACAATGATTTCTTTCGTATTTAAGAGTTAAGAAAATAATAAGAATTTAGCACAACACATCCATTGGAGAAAGAAAAATTTAAGTATGACAAGAAATGCCGTAAAAAATGTTTAAGTTCAAAATCCCCCACCCCACCCACATATATATGATTTAAGTTATAATAAATATTGACGACTATCGTTAAGTCTTAATACCAAAGTTATTAAAATCTTATAGATTAAGAAAACATGAGTTTAAGATTTTAAAGTTTAACTGTAATTCAGTTATATTTAATAAAATAATATTTTTATAATATAATAAATTTATTGGTAATAATTTTTCTATAAAAAGAAAATAATAATAATAAATATAACTATTATTGTTGAGAATGTATCATTCAATCCTGTTTTCAAAACAGTAGTTAATACAATTTAAGATACATATTTTGATGTTTTTTTAATTATTTGTTTTCAGTTTCAACATTTTGATAACTATGCATAAACCTATGTAGATGAATACGAATACCATGTTAAGAAAAATATACATAAGTATTATTTTAACAATTACAGTTTAACTTTTTGTTTCACTTGAAAAAAAAAAAGTATCTCATTCTCTGTATAACAATACAAAGAGCTGATAATTTTTTAAAACTTGAATAAAGATCCTTTTTTATCAGTTAAAAGTAGTTTCAATGTATATCCAAATAAATTTCATCATGACTTTAACACTAAAATGTATGTCATAAAAATAATAAATAAACACATAAAGTTTCCACGTAGGTCTGTAGCTTTACCCTGGTCGTGTTAGGTAATAAAATCCTTTTATGGCTCTTGAATAATTTAGAGTGTGCAAAAAGGTGTTCTTTTCGATTTTTAAATTGCAACATGTCATCATCGTGGTTATTTTTGTTACTATTATTATTATTATTATTATTATTATTATTATTATTATTATTATTATTATTATTATTATTATTATTATTTGTGGTAGTCCCGTTCCCAGATGTTACCGTGAGATTTGATTAATTCAAAAACATTAAACAAAAAAAAAAACATATTTTTTTTTATGCTAATTATCAGTGTAAGAACAACTATGAACATTTAACAGTGTTATCTGCAAGGAAAAAAAAAAAAAACTTGCACCCTTATGACAGTGTAACGGAGCAATCAAATTGAGAGCAAAACTTGAAAGAATGAAAACAAGAGAAACAAAGCAACAGTAATTATTAGATAATAATTTTTCTTAAATTTCTGGGCCACAAGAAAAAGAAAAAAAGAAAAAAATTGGCATACGCGCGAGGATCCTGAAGCACAACAAAAGAAATAAGATAAAAGACAGAGTAGCTCCTACAGTTCTGTAATCTCTGTAAAACATTCGAAAACATCACTGCAGAGTTTAAGGAAAGGTCCTGGTCTGGTCAGCCAGAAAAAAACATTGGTTAACCACGTGGTCTTAGAACTCGTTATGATGATGATGACGACGACAAGGAGGAGGAAGATGGATTCTATGAGACATCGGAGGAGTTGGTCTCAGAGTTGTAGCCACTTGGGGGTGGGGTAGAGGCAGAGGATGCAGAACCTGAACCGGAATCACCACCATTACCTCCAATAACGTTTCGAATAGATTCCCCCGTTTTAGAGATAGTGGAGGACACTGAATTCACAAGGCTGCTAAAAATTTGAGCCTTTATCTGCCCTCTTTTCGGGGGAAGGCTCGGTTTTTTCTTTTGAGGTGTTTCTGACATTCTCTTTATATATAGTTTGAATCGGATCTGTCAAAACAGATTAGAAGAAAAAGAGAGAAGAAGGAGCAACAAAACAGAACGGACTCTGTTATTGAAACAGAGTATAGAAACTGTAAGAGAATTTCACTTCAAAATACAAAAACTGGAATTGAGTAATAGATGCTGAATAAAAGTTGGAAGAGGCAAAAGAGGAAGATGAAGAGAGAGAATGAGTTTGAGACAAATGGTTAAGGAAGGTGTGATAAATATAATTTATAAAAAAGGGGTGGGGTGGGGGGAAGAACCAATACTGGATTAAATTATGTACATTTTTTATAATTTGGAAAATTTCATAAAGACATTAAATACTAGGAAAAGATATTCCTTGTTGTCAAAGATTATTTTTATTAATAACTATTTGTGTTTCTAGAATATTATTAAGGACTACTTTTTTTTTTAATTTATATGTAATATTGAAAAAACGATTTTTTATACAGTCCAAAAAAGCCAAGTATCTTTTTTAAATAAAATAAATACAATGGATGTGAAGTATACCCATAAAGTACTGAAACTTTCCTAGTACCTATCCATTTGTGAAAGAAAGCCAATACCAAAGACCCACGTTAATGCGTGACACAAGCACGACGAAAGGGTTATACTTTCTTCTTCGCTTCTTGCATGCACAGCATTTTAATTGGCTTTTTTTTTTTTTAATAACGATAAATATTAAGCATATATTGCCTAAATTAAAGTTTTAACTATTGAAAAAAAATATTTTCCCTTCTTTTCAACTTTTAATTAATTATAAATATTATTCTTACAAGATCTTAAAAATTTGTTGGTATTTTAAAAAATATATCTCAATATTATTGTCAATTATTTAAAAAAAATAATTAATAAATTGAGATAAGTTTACTTGATTGACTATTATTTTGAGATTTATTGGGTCAAATTTTGTTGAATGTTAAAAAAAAAATGGATGTCAACCTACAAATTAGTGATATTATAATATAAATTGATATATGAAATTTTTTCATTATGTAATAAGTCTATGAATCTAGAGTCTTCAAATTTAAAATCTAATTTGTGTAGATGAATAAATTGACTGAACAAGTTTTATTTATAAAATTTTATCAGATTTTTTTAATTAATTATTTTGATTTACATTACACATAAACCAAGTCAATTAAACAATTAAAAAAAATTATAATTGTATAATTGATACTAGTAATTTATAAAGTATTATTAAAGTTGGTGTAAGTTTAATATAGAATAATAATTAATGTTTGAGTGAATAAGATGTAATTAATTTAGAATTATATCTGAAATTTGTTCAATTTAGAGTCATTACAAAACTATTTTAAGTTAAATATATATTTGAAATATATAAGTCAAATTCATGAAGATATATTAATTTTTAGAAATGTATTTGTATTTGACAATATTAAGTGTTATAATATATTATTGTTGTGATATACTCAAATGATATTCTCGAATAATTGTTACAACGCAATGACATGCTCAAACGACATTATCAAATAATTGTTATGGCATAATGATATGCTTAAATAAAATTCTCAAATAATTGTATAATTTGAATGAATACATCTCAAATAAAATTTAACTCGATGTAATTTGAATATATATTTAAGATGAATATAATTTGGATAAAAACGTAATTCAATTTTAATGTTTATTGACGTATTGTAATAGTTACGTCAAACATGTTAAATAATATTTGACAATTTTCATTACCTCAGTCTTGTTTAACTTGATGCTAAAATAAAATTTGGTGAGCTTCATTATCTCTACCATGTCTAGTTTGTAGCTAAATGTATATTTTGTGAGTTTTATTACTTGTTTAGCCTGGGACTAAAATAATTTTTGACGAATTTCATTACCTTTACCATGTTTAGCTTGTGGCTTAATTTATAATTGGAAAGTTTTATTACCTTCATATTTAGTTCGAAACTAAATTTATAATTGTCGAGTTTCATTATTCGTATCATGTTTAGCTTGGAGCTAAAATAATATTTGACGAGTTTCATTACATTTATTATGTTTAATTTATGATTAAGTGTAACAATAAATGTTTTTATGAACTATGATGACTACACCTTTTTCACTTTAATTTGAGGATGTTTTGGTGAATCATGTATAAATTTACCTTGTTGGTTAAAACTTTCTATGTTTGATGATCATTTTTTTAATAAATCTTATAGCTTATATGTCTCATTATGTAAAGAGTTAAAAAAATATATATCATATATGAATTTACTTTTCCGGTGTAGCTATTGACACATTTTTATGATTGAGGATCATTTTCCTTGTACTTAGTTGACTTCTCTTGTTTGCTCGTAAAGAGTCAAAATATTTTGTATTGGATAAAATATTTTTCTACAATATTTATATTATATCAAATAAATGTTAAACAAATATTTTTATTATACTTGATCATATAAGATAATATTAAAATTATATCAACATCAAAACTATAAGGTTTTACGTATTATGATTTATTTAAAATAAAAACCTCTCATCCTTTAATTTTGGTAATAAAGGGTATATGAAAGTATAAATATTTTTTATTTTGTAATATTAATATTTCATGATGACAAACTGAGAATAATTTATCACCAAAAAATTAATAATACAATCACCGGTAATATTATATATCATCAAAAATGTTTTTTTTAACAAATATTTCTTTTCATACGAGATGAAATTAATTATATTTATGAATTATGCAATTACAATTTGCATGTCTAATGAAATGACAATAATAAATAAACAATAACATTTATCTTGAGAAAAATAAATCATTCTATTTTTTATGCAATCACATTGTCATTTAAATTCATATTTTGTGTATTTGGTATTTTAGTGTAGAGTGAAAAATATGTACCTTAAGAAAATTGAAAATCAATATATTTTAGATTGAGGTGTCTCATTCCATATGATGCATAATAAAAATTTTCTAAAAAATATATTTGTACGATGATTTTAAAGAAAATTTTATCATATAATACAATACATCTTATTGTTGGGTAACATATAAGAAAAAAGACTTGTAACATAATGTTTTAAGGTTTAGATTCAAAATGATGTTATATTATCTTATATGGTTGACTCATATCCGTTTGTGATAATCTCTATTTTATTAACCATTCAAAATACCTATTAGTGATATTATAGCTCTTGATTTTTTGTTATATTTTGTTTCACCCTAAAAATCCATTTGTTTTCTAAAACTCTTAGGCAATTTTATAAAATCATAAACGTGATTATCATGTAAAGATTTCATCTCATCTTATATTGCATCCAATTACTTTTATTTTTCTTTACTTTTCAAAGTTTCTTCAAAACACTCACATTCTGCACCATTAGTTAAAGTTACATATTCATCCTAAGAATACATGGAAGATAGTTTTCTCAACCTATTAAACCTCCTGGTAAGAATTTGTGGTAATTCGGTTATACGATGATTGAATAGAAAAAAAGTAAAATTTTTCTTTAATAGTGAATAATTTGCAAACAATGTCTTTGAGAGGGCTTTTATGAAAATAGAGTCTTATAACTTTTTATAAATTTACAAAAATAATTGAGAAACTTAAAACCAATTAACATTAGGCCAAATACATTAGGGTGACAATTGTGTAATCATATTTACAACAATTAAGAAAATTCTATACTATTATCATTATGATAAATAAAATTATACTTTCTTATATAGGTCAATATAAATGATAATGTACAACTACATGCAAATATCATATATAAACTAATATATATATATATATATATATATATATATATATATATATATATTTTTGATACTCAAATGAGACCTGATATGTAAACTAACTTTTGTATATATTTTTTTAAGTAATAAACATCTAAATTTATTTTGTATAATATTAAGTTCTTCCTTTATTTAATCTATTTAATGATATCTAAAAAAAACAATAGTTTTGCAATAATAAATTACCACCATAAAATAATTTTATTTGACAAATAAATAAAATATTATCAATCTTACTAAAATCATTACAATTATATATATACAATCTTTCACAATTGTAATTAGCACGTACATTTTCATTTTGTTTGATAATAAATATATGTTCTTTTAAATAAATATTACAAATTTATCAAGATTGAATAAGAGATAAAGTTATTTTTTTTACATAAAAGAAATTTCACTTTGGTTTTAAATAATTTAAAATATAAAAGATTATCATCAATCTACTTAATTTAAAAATACAAATTGAAATATATATATATATATATATATATATATATATATATATTTTATCATAAAAAATCAAAACTATCAATTTATATGAATAGAAAAAATTGTATTTATCTCACAATAAGTACTAAATGTTTTCATACAAAATTTACAATAATAAACAAGTTGAGAGAAGACAATTTGTATGATTGACATTTTAGAATTTTTTAGGTTTAGCTCTTCGCTTATAATTCTCTTTCATTAGTTAAAGGTATATTTATAAAAATATTTTGATGATAAAAAAAATTAATAAATACGTGTAATTAATTAATAATGTGAAAATTTATTATTTATATCATTTAAAATGAATCATTAGATTTCATATTTTTTCAACTTTATATTTAATTTTAATTATTCGATATTTTTTTAGTACTTATTTAATTGATATTTTAAGATAAATATTAATAATTCCTAACACTCTCACCGTTTAATATAAAAATGTTACTGTAATTTCATTGTCTATATTTGTCATAAGTTTGAAAATATTTTATTTAATCACTTAAAAGAAAATAATGAATGAACGAACATATTTATAGTAAAATATCATCTTAGAAATAGTTATTTTCAGCTGAAATCTTTAACCTTAAAGTTTCCACTCTCATGTAATACATATATTCAGGGAAAATATGTCTAACTTAAAAATCTCACAAAAAATAGATTTATTTCAGAAGGAAATGAGAAATAAGTTGGATTAGAAAAAAAATTGAATTAAATCTATTTTAATTTGATT